AAGCAAAAGAAGAATAGTGAAGAAACCACAGAACATGATTTGCCTCATTAGTTTCTCCATAGTTTCTTCTTTTTTGGTTTTCCAAATTTGAAGCTTGCTGTGTTTGGAGGGGGTTTAACTGCTTATGTATACTATATATAGTATGAGCCAGTAATGTGAATTTGAAAAATGATATTTGAGTTTGAATTGACAGCTTTACTTTCTTCCAAAATTTTCGTAGGCAACTTTTAAATAAGTTTAGAAGTCAATTCGTCTCTTGGGTACAAATAAAAATAATGCCGGGAAAGAAGACCAGGTGGTCTTTATGATGCCTATATTTCTCTCTTCTATTTGATTAATGTCCCAGGTGACGAAACTTTGGCTGAAAACTAAGAAGGGTCTCAATTTTTTACTATAAGTCTTGGGTTGGGTGGGGGCCGGTTTGTTTAATGGTTAGATATTGAAGTTTGATCAAGTCGTTCATTGAATAGAACATTTTATTTGTAAAAAAAGAGAATAGAAAATGAATAGCAATTGTAGATTACTTTAGTGTAATCTATAATATACATGAGGAGATTTATTTATAGTATATGAGAGTTTTGAGGTTTTCTAGTTTAACTGATGTAAGATAAACATATTATAATTATATACGTTAACNGTAAGTCCTAACATTTATTAATACCTACTACCTATTCAATGATTAAGATTATCAAGTCTAATTTTTAAGTTCATCTGTCATTACTCTTATTTATAGTATAAGAGAGTAGTGAGATTTTCTAGTTTAACTGATGTGAGATAAACATATTATAATTATATACATTAACATCCCCTTTCAAATTCAAATAGATAAAATAGAAATCAACTTGACCAAATCATGAAATCGGCTCGACGGATGTTCCTTGGTAAAAATGTCAGTAGTTTGGTTAGATGAAAAAACAAAGAAAAGATGAACTATACCTCGAGCCGCATGATGTTACACAAAATGACAATCAATCTCAATATGCTTGATACGATCATGAAAAATATCATTGTGAGCAATCTATATCGCACTCCGATTATCACAATAAAAAACAGTAACACTAGATCAGAGACACCTAACTTCTCATAGCCAACAAAACCAAAGAAGCTCCTGGATAGTGTCAGCAAGAGCACAGTACTCTGACTCTGTACTAAATCGAGAGATAACACACTATTTCTTGTTGTGCCAAGAGATGAGAGTCACTTAAAAAGAAACAATAACCAGAGATAGAATGACGATCATCAGGATATCCTACCAAATCAATATCAGAATAGGATCGTAGCTCAAGAGATGAATGAGTAGAGTAATGAAGACCATAAAATATAGCACCCTTAATATATCGTAGAATACGAAGAACAACATAATGAATAGAGTGAGGGGCAATCAAAAATTGGCTGATGAGATGAACAACATAGGCTATATCAGGGCGAGTAATAGTGAAGAGTAACAAGACTACCTATCAACTAGTGATACAGCGTGACATGAGGGAGAGGTGTGTCATCTAAGGGAGTAAGTTGAACATTTTGCTCTAATGAGGTGGGTACAGTCTTACAATCAATGAGTTCAACATGACTAAGAAACTAATACATGATTTGCTGTCGTGTAACGTTTGCAAAAGAAGTCCCAAATGGTTGTAGCGGTGTTAAAATGACCAAACTGATGATTGATGGATAATGTTGAGTTGTTCCAAAATCAAGGGATAATTTGATGATTATTGTTTTTCCATTCTTCAAGACGGTTAGCGTATTTTTTGGCCTATTTGGCCTTAAGACAAACAAGTTCCTTGATATAACCAATAACATACGCTACAGTTTACGACCTTTGGGAAAATTGGTCATAAATGGAGCCCAAACAATGTAGTTAGAGCCTTCAAGAATGATGGAAATTGGTCGTGAAACATCGGATAGTGTCATGGTGAGATCTGGACGGTTAGTGAACGATTGGAAGGTCGTCGGAGAACGATAGGGAGGTGATTGGAACATCGCTAAGGGATGGCCGGAGAGGGAGATCAAAATGTCGTTAGAAGATGGTGAAGGAGATCAAAAGATCATCGGAGGATGACCGGGAGGTGATCGAAATGTCACCAGAGGACTACTGGAAAGTCATTGGAGGTCGATCGAAAGAGGAACCTTAAGTGTTTTGACGTGGAGGATCCCTCACAAGACAACTAGAGAGCATACTATCTCAGAGGATAGTCGAAAGTGGAAGAGTTTCAAGAGTTTTGATGTGGATGATCCCCGCAGGACAACTACAGAGCATATTATCCTTGGTCAGAAAGATTCGCAAACTTAAGCTCTAATATGATGTGAAAGAAGAAAATAGAAAATAAATAATAATTGTATATTGCTTTGGTCTAATTTATAATATATATGAGAGATTTATTTATAGTACAAAAAAATAGTAAATTTTTCTAGTTTAACTGAGGTGGGACAAACATATTATCATTATATACATTAACAATTATTTGAAAGATTAGTGGGGTTTTGGTGAACAGTCCACTTTCTTCTAAATTTCATATCCTACTTGGTTTGAAAGTTGGGTGTGAATGTATGATTATTGGCTGCTTGCCAGATCTTCTTGCATTTTTTTGGGTAAGATTATCTTATATTTCACAGTAATTAAATTCCATATCTCTTATATTTGTTTTTTAGAAGGGGGAGGGGACTTGAAACTTTAACCTCAGAAAGATAAAATCTTCATAAAGTAAATAATACTATTAGACCAAAGACCCATTACCCGATNTGGATGGTCAATGAATGATTGGAAGGTCGTCGGAGAATGATAGGGAAGTGATCGGAACGTCATCAAGGGATGACTGGAGAAGGTGATCAAAATGTTGTTGGAGGATGGCGAAGGAGATCAAAAGGTCACCGGAGGATGGCTGACTAGGCGTCGAAGGATGGTCGGAAGGTGATTGAAATGTCACCAGAGGACTACTGGAAAATCACTGGAGGTTGACTGAAAGATGAAGGTCAAGTGCGTGTCATGATGTGAAAGATCCCTCGCAAGGCAACAAGAGAGCATACTATCTCAAAGGATAGCCGAAAGTGGAAGAGTTTCAAGAGTTTTGATGTGGATGATTCCCACAGGACAACCACAAAGCATACTATCATTGGTCAGAAGGATTCACAAGCTTAAACTCTAATACCATGTGAAAGAAGAAAATAGAAAATAAATAGTCATTGTATATTGCTTTGGTGTAATCTATAATATACATGAAAAGATTTATTTATAGTATAAGAGAGTAGTAAGATTTTCTAGTTTAACTGAGGTGGGACAAACATATTATCATTATATACATTAACAATTATTTGAAAGATTAGTGGGGTTTTGGTGAACAGTCCACTTTCTTCTAAATTTTATATCCTACTTGGTTTGACAGTTGGGTGTGAATGTATGATTATTGGCTGCTTGCCAGTTCTTCTTGCATTTTTTTTGGGTAAGATTATCTTATATTTCACAATAATTAAATTCCTTATCTCTTATACTTTTTTTTTTGGGGAGGAGGAGGGAAATTTGAACCCTTAACCTCATAAAGACAAAATGTTCATAAAGTAAACAATACCATTGAACCAAAGATTCATTACCTGGTCTAGTATTTGACAATATTCAAACCCCACCCCACAGGGACATTTTAGAAAATAATATATTAATATGCTAAATTAAAGTTTTAAGCTAAGTAGTTATAAAAAA